CCCTGATGACGGAGGCAGTATGACCTCTGAAACGTTGGTTAACATCGACCAGACTACACAGCGCAACAACCCAGAAGACAGAAATCTTCATACTCACCGCTGTGAAAACCTCATATCTTACTTAACACAACATCTTTCAAGAAGGATGGTGCACACCCAAATATGGCGAACATTGTTTTTAATGTCCTGTATGAAGCATCTGGTAGCCGTGTCCTGTCAAATCAATTTTTATAGTGTGGGTGGTGCCAGCCACACTTCTCACCAGACATGAATGCCTGCCACCGTTTCCTGTAAGCACCCTCAAAGATTGTGTGTACCTAACCTAACCACAAGTTGCAAGGATAAACTGAACCTGTTACTGTAGATGTCACAGGTGACGATACATGACACAGAACACAACTTTTATAGTTCATTTACAATGAATCCACAAGACTTAAGTATCTCATACTGAACATTTGTTCATATAAAAATCATATGCACAAAAACTCTCCATAAAAGTAACTTGATGACAATGAAAGGTATCTTCCGGAGAAGGTAACACCTGTGATCAACGCAGAAATTATCCGTGACCACTACTGGGGATTCTGTCAATTGTTGTATTAAACTGATAAAGTGAGCAGAATGGCAACAAGCTATTTTATCAGCTGCAGCATGCAGAAATGGAAATAAAACCTAATTTTTTTTCAGGTGTTGGTTTCTTCTGAATTCTCTTCCTTCTTCTAGCATCATTTCCATTTCATGTGGGACGAAGGTTCTTTTGGTTATTATGTGTAATCTACCACAGTTTTATTTCTGGCTGCCCCTGGTCAAGGATCTGATAAAAATCAGCAAACACGAACCTAACCTCACATCACAACTTGAGGAGGATCGTGGCATTTAGAACAAAAGCCTGTGCAACAAACGTAATTAGTGCCATGCGAGTTCTGCGCAAAACAAAAAAGAAGCAAACAAAATTTCAGTGCTCACAATTAAAAATGGGCCTGTATCATGTATACAGCTGCCAACACAATAACATACCTCAACGCTATATAGTCTCAGCTAGTGAAAAAGCATCATCAAATAAATTATAAATAAATAATAATATACTGAACAGTTCCAGACATGTAATAATTTATGAATAACACACACAAAATCATGATGAGTAACCAATAAGGTCAAAAATTCCTTAAAAGCATTACCACAGCAACAGTTATTATAATTAACATGTCACACAGTCATAAACATCATCTTAATATTCTTATATTCCTGTACATCACACATAACCATTTCCGTAGGATTTGAAAATTTTCTGCTAAAAGTAATCCACATTAAGAGAACATGTATGTGCTTTCCTTTCCAAAAATTTCCATTTTATATTTTTATCACTGATTGGCCAGAAGTCTATGTAGTACTTTTAAATCTATTATGGTACGGATTTCTGTTTAAAATACTCACAGTATAGTATATTAAAACATACAAACAGAGCCTCACACTTACCTTTTCTCCAGCACCTTCACCACCACCAGTATAAAAATCTGTCTTGCGTGCAAGAAAACTGAAGATGGTGTCCAAAAGCTGAAATTGCAAAGCAGTATATTCATCACAGAGTAATTCAACTGGTAAAGGTGTATGAAAATCAGCAAAAAATGCAATCATCTTAATGTTAATGTACTGTGGTTTGATAATAATATATGAAGCCTCTTTTCAAGGACAACCAATTTGAAGGCCTAGTGTCTGACATTTTGTTTAACACCACTCCAATCATGTGTCAGCCTTCGATTAATGTAAATTTTTGGTATTATGTGATTAAATCTATTTTATAACTATTACTTGATGATGTTATGAGCTGGGATAGCTCAGTCAGTATAGTGACTATCTACGGGCTGGGCGACCGGGGTTTGATCCCCGATGGGGGCAGAGGATTTTTCCTCTAGCCTCTGCGTCCAGACCGGCTCTGGGGCCCACCCAGCCTCCTCTACAATGGGTACTGGGGTCCTTTCCCAGGGATAAAGCATGGCCAGGGGGGGATGCTGACCACTCACCCCCATCTAGTGCCAAGGTCAAGGAAGAGAGGAGCTATACCTCCACTCCCCCCAAACGCCTACATGGCGTATAGTGGGACAAACTTTACTTTACTTTTTACTTGTTGTTATTCTTCTAGGTTATAGTACGATGTAGACTTGTAAGTAGATACCAACATTTTGGAAAGACGACCCCATCTTCAGCCATAAAGATGGAGAAAGTATGTTTCACTGAATTTCTGGTATCTACCTATGGGTCTACATAGCATCATGGCTCAGAAAAATAACAATGACACCTTCACTGCTATGAGAACATCAAATCTCATATCTACTACTTCTAAACATTTTCTGTCTAGATATTTATAGCAAAACCTAATGAACAGTTAGTTTTCCTGGTATACATTATGTGCTTGATTTGTATAATATGCTTATAGTATGCAAAGAACCAATTCCACAGAGGAAGATCCTTCAAGAGAATATAACAGCTGCTCAGCATGTAATGAAATTTCCTGCCTGTTACAAAACTGAAAGTTCATTACATGTTCACAAAAATCTAATTGATTCTATCTGACGAAGAGCACAAACTATGGAGCCCCTCACTATGCAGGAAGAAACAGATTATTCATTTATGTGTCTGTTGTATAGATTTCCTACAACTAATGCCCTAATGAGTGTTTTTCCTTCAAAAAGTACCTCATGTCTCTCATATTTCCATACTGCAACTTCTAACAAAGTTCTCAGCCAGTGGGCTACATGTGACTCTCCAGTTTCCCTAATATCGGAAAATATGTTTTGTTGATACTGAGTCAACCTGTATATGAAAAATACTACTCTAATATCTGAAAATATGCTTCATTAATGTCACTAGTACCCAGCAGAAACTTTTGCAATGAGCAATTCTATGCCTAAAATTTAATGAAGAGCATCAAATCAAGAACAATGCATCTTGCTGACGAACGCTTTGAGGGATGAGTGCAAATCTCGACATAAATTAAAGCTAATATTAAAACATTAATAAAGCAAAAGCAGTGCCAAACATCTTATTAATGACAGATTTTGATGAATAAAATTATTATGTAATACGTGAACCTATTTGAAATAGTAAGTTGGTATATTGTTAATAAACTGATATGAAGTTCAAAATGTCGTCATTTACAACCCTGCTGTTCACGAATCAACAAACAAGGATGAATCTGGCCATACGTCTGGATATAATTCAAAACCCGTACTAAATTGATTTGTTACAAAAAGGCTATCCCGCCTAAAGGGGATAAAAAAACTACTTTAAATGCAATCACTACTTTGCACATACAATCTTCCCCCTACATCAATATGACACAAACACAAAACTGCAAAGTTGTTCACGATTGCATCCACTAAAACGAATAATATGGCGCCATAACCTAACATAAGTCCATACTCACATGACTTCACACACAAAGGTAATACACTTACTTCTTGCACACCTCCCTCATGTTGCTGGGCCATAGCCAGCAACATTCCATCAAATTGTTCAGGGTCATTTACAGGCATCCTCTTCCTCGCAGTAACTACTTCAACACTGCTTGAATTAAAATTCTTTCACTCCACTTATTATTACCGGCAAATTCTGGAAGTCTCGATCACTCGTTTGCTACCTCTGTGTTCTCCCAAGCAACGGCAAAGAATATACCAAAATGGATGACTTCATGGTTACTAGAATTAAGTAAAAGTCTACTAACCATTGGAATCTGTTAGTAATATTTTCTGTTTTTCGCCGAAGACAGGCCCAGAAATAAAGATTGATATACTTTAAAATAAAGCTGTTGGATAATTACAGAAAGGAAGCCTTTTGTATGAACTACCTGCCACAGATGAGTTACTGCTTTGTGGGCGAAAGGAAGCGGCATACATATTTGTAGCAACAACACGTAATTAAAAATAACGTTATCGTTATTCCTGACTGATTATTTTTCCAATGCCTAATGTTTACGCACTCTACCCCCAGGTTGTACAGAAACCCCACGTAACCCGCACCTCACCCACAAGCTTTATACGGCCATGTACAGCGTGGTATAACTGAATCGTTTCTCGATTGCAGGGCCGAGGGGATATACTGAGAGCCATTTTTGTAGCAGTGTCCTCCAACAATTCCATCAGTTCATGATTTCAGGCAACTGAGGGAGATGCACGCAAAATCAGGCAGTGTATTCATTCAATGCCAATAATTAGAATACACATTCCGGTACGGTAGTACGCAACTTTCGAAAAGGTATAAATCAGAGCAATTTTGTAAGCACAATTTATATAAAGTAAGTGAAATCAGTGCATTAACAGAGATCAGCTACGAATAAGAATGGCTAAATTTTGTATAAAAGTCTGGGACTTTCTTAGTTAAGTAGACACGGAAACTTGCACCGAGAGTCACTCAACAACGAGAAACTACGTCTTGACACTGTACACTGTTCCGTGACCTAAACACTTGTCATAGTGAAAGAAAGTATGCTATTTCTCTTCCGCTTCCGTTTGGTTTAACAGCCGTCGGATATGTCGGTTGGTTGCTGTTTGTATTCTTGACTCTGGCGGAACTGTTATATGCAGTTAAATGCCACAAATTAAAAAGTTAATAAAGTTCATCGAAAAAATAATACCAGTACAATGAATTTCCTTTTACTCTTTAAAACAGTGCTGGTATACCATTCTCATAAATTACAAATGTCTCCGGTGCTGTCTAGTTTTCAAAACTTTCGCATACCTATGCAGCGAAACTCAAAACATAGTAGAAGCAATTTCCATAACGGTTTATACAAAGCGTGACGCAAGAAACAAAGGACTTTTCTTGTTATCGTTCCAATATTACGTACATTTTGCACTTGGAATTTAACAATTTCAACCGTACATAACCTTCAAAGGTTCAATATATCACTGTTGACCTACATTTAATGTCGGTATGTAGTGAATACAAATATTCAACATTCCGTCGAAAGCTGACGTGTTAAACTTTCACTGACATCTATAGTGACCTCGTTTCGTCCCAGAGTCATTCAGGTGATTTTCTTTAGTACTCTTTCAGTTACACAGTACATACAAAATGTCATCTGTATGTCTTAATATATACAACAAAATTTTACTTAGAAATGTCAGTTATATTTCTTGCACTGTTAGAAAACAAAGTGGATATGTACTTTCAGTGACTTTAACAAAAAAATATGCTGGAATTGACATAACACAGTCAAATCCAAGAGAATTTTGTACAGGAAGAAATAGATACAGTGCAGCAGGAAAATTAGCTCAAAATCAGAAGCCAGACTGGAATAAAGCAGTGTCAGAAGCTGAGAAAATTGTGGGCTATCCAACCTCATTTTTGAGCTTGAGATGGCTTTTAAGTGATGAAATTGCAAATGTGGCTCTTCATTTGCGTAAACTGGTCGGTTCAAATCATCCTTTATTGAAAACTGCAAAGTAAGTAATACATTTTATAGTAGGTCTGCACTAAGGTGCACCTAAATAAACTAAGTTTACAATGTGATAAATTGTAAGTTCCAATACTTACTTACTTAGATACTTAGGTGACCTGTTCTTCAGTGCCTGAGCATCTGTGGGTCCCAACTTTCATTGGCTTTGATCTATTAGACAAGTAGGGCTCCTTGGACAAGTGATCATCCCGTCGCAAGGCCTCTACCTGTAAGGTATAATATGTTCACTAACTGAGCAATGGTTAGTTTGAGGACAAAGATAAGCCAAAACATAATATATGATATACAGAACTGAGGTTTGAGGCGGCTGATGAAATCTACGGACACTATCAACTGTAGAAGTCATGAAAAAAAGATTTCTGAGAGAAAGTATGACTTCCTCCACAGATGTTACTTGGTTTACTAGCATTGATAGACAACTTTGTCGAATTTTAATCTGTGCTATCAATTCTGATAATATGCTGATTATTGAAACAAAATCTGTTGGGAACATTATAAAACAGTACCACTGCATCAGAATTATAAACATAAATTAGTGACTCTAGGCAAAAAGTGGGGCCAATTCTACGAGGAAGTATGTATGTTTTTCATTTAAAAATTAAGATATATTTTAAACTATTGTAAATCATTCTGTTAGTAAATGTTAATGTGAACAAATGTATTTCATCTTAAAAGAAATTTCATTTTATTCTGCCTTACTATTAATAAGGTATGGTGAATGGTATATCTGTACGAAGCTTACAAACTATACTATGGTTCTTTGCTGATATTCCCTACCATAGGCATAAGTTCATTCAAAAGCTAATATCATGGTGCCAGAAAGTGGAAATACAGATGAATCTTCATATAAAGCACCCAGTTATACTGCGGATTTGATTATGTCTCCCAATGAGATTAATATGATGTCAGTTTAATTTGTAATGTGGGTAGTTTGTAATGGTACTGAAGCTGTCCCGCAATGTGTTTTTTCAAGGTTTCACTTTACCAGTCACACATACCTCTCAAATAAAACACTGACACTTTGCCCAGGGGAACTTCTTTATCCCTTGGTGCTACAGCTTGATTATGTGCCCCTTGCACATTCCAAGTATAGAAGACATTTATTGTTCCTGTGCATATTTTATTTATTTAATTTGACTGCAAATGGATTTTTACCGGGTGGCAGTGGTCCTACAATAAGACACAAAACAATGAGACACAACAAAACAATGAGACAGAACAGAACAATGAGATAAAACAACAGAACAATGAGATAAACAACAGAGCAATGAGATAAAACAACAGAACAATGAGATAAACAACAGAGCAATGAGATAAAACAACAGAACAATGAGATAAACAACAGAGCAATGAGATAAAACAACAGAACAATGAGATAAACAACAGAGCAATGAGATAAAACAACAGAACAATGAGATAAACAACAGAGCAATGAGATAAAACAACAGAACAATGAGATAAACAACAGAGCAATGAGATAAAACAACAGAACAATGAGATAAACAACAGAACAATCAGATAAACAACAGAATGAAGTCACTGATAAATATATAAGAGTTTCCAGTATATGAAAGATGGATTCCAGAAATGTTAAAAATTAAAACTAACAAATAATGACTTATGACTGATAAACAACACCTGAAAACAATTGGTACCGTATGAAGATGGCCATCTTCTGGACTGTATTACAGTGTAGTCTGGTATAGGCTGACTGACATTTCAGAGGAGCTTACTGTGTCAATCATCAGGGTTTATGCAAATAGTAAGTTTGTCTTAAATCTGTAAGACTATATGATGCTACATATGAGAGGACACCCATCTTCATGCTCACTGCCATGAGAACCTGAAATCTCAACTGGTACTGTTTTTCTATAAGTATATAATAGCACTGTAAATGGTAACATGGATGTGAAATTGCTTATGAAAAGTTCTGAAGATTCTGAGCACAATATGAAACGCAAATCAACATTTTATTCCAGCATACATTAGAATACACCATTAAAATACTATAACTTCTTTCCATTTAGTTACAGTGGCATTTAAAGAGTTTGGAATTAAGGTTTTTAATTAACAGGACATATAATTTTAAGTCTTCTTCCACATAGAACCTGAGAGAGAATTTAATGATGACTTGCACATTTGGTAAAATTCCTTGAAGTATTTTTTCTGCTACATATTCATTTCAACATCAGCACTTTCTTTCCCAGATAGCGCTTCTGGCAAAGAGATTATAATTTCATCTTCTTTGGTAACTTCATAAACTCTAAGTGATAATGAAGAGACAGCTTCTTAAAACTTTGGGCTTCTGCAGAGTACAGTTTAAGAATGTTAAATTAACAATATAGAGCATTAAGTTGCAAGGATATATAAACATTACGTCTGGTTACAGGAGTCTGTTATATAATGGCCGCAACAACATGCAGGCATGGGGACTTATTGTGCTACTTATTTCCAAAGCGGCAGGACATCTTAATGTGGAAGACATGGAGGAGGACAAAGCAGCTGGAGTTTTGCACAGGTAAGGGAGTAGTCATGGAAACAATAAAATTAGAATGACGCATATTTCACAGTACTGTATTTATAAACAGATATATGCATTTAATCCAAATGAATCTGTTTTCCATCATGGCTTTCCTCACACTGAATAGGACTGTACATGTGCTGGAGATCTTACGTACTGTTACAATATTTTCCATTATAGTGTTAACGTCAGAATTCACACAAGAGTTTGTTTGTTAAGCATATACTACATATTGAAAAGCAGGTTACAGAGTCCTGCCAACTAACTTCATGCAAACCATCTCAATTAAATTTGCCGTCATTATAATAATTTTCTACTTCTGCAATCTTTGAATTGTATATAGTTGTGTAATATAAGTAGCAGTTCATTCTTTTTTATCCACAGTCAACGAGCACTTGCTGAAGTTACAGAAATGATTCGAACCAGTCATTTGGTTCATAAAGGAATGGTGAACATCTATCCTGGGCTGTATCCTGAACCAGCTATACTGAATGACATGACATTTGGAAATAAAATTGCATTGCTGAGTGGTGACTACCTGCTGGCAAATTCTTGTACTGAACTTGCAGGTTTACGAAACCAAGATGTAAGGGAATGGTACATCATCTTTAT